GGACACTCTGACCTGTGTGTGTCCCCATGTACCCCGAGTGACACCTGGGGACACACACAGGTCAGTGTCCCCACGTACCCCGAGTGACACCTGGGGACACACACAGGTCAGTGTCCCCACGTACCCCGAGTGACACCTGGGGACACACACAGGTCAGAGTGTCCCCACGTACCCCGAGTGACACCTGGGGACACACACAGGTCAGTGTCCCCACGTACCCCGAGTGACACCTGGGGACATGGGGTCACCAGGGGATGGGGACACGTGGGAACAGGGACATGGAGTCACCCCAGGATTGGGACACACCAGAGGAACAGTGGAATCACCCTGGGACACCGAACCTGGAGTTTGGGGATCCCCAGGACACCAAACCTGGGATTTTGGGATCCCCAGGACTCCAGAGCCGGGGATTTGGGATCCCCAGGACTCCAGACCCGGGGATTTTGGGATCCCCAGGACTCCAAACCTGGGGATTTTGGGATCCCCAGGACTCCAGAATCAGGATTTTGGGATCCCCAGGACTCCAGAATCAGGATTTTGGGATCCCCAGGACTCCAGACCCAGGGATTTTGGGATCCCCAGGACTCCAGACCCAGGGATTTGGGATCTCCCCAGGGCCGGGGCACTCACACGCAGGCGGGTTTGTCCTCCTGCACCAGGAAGCGGCAGGTGCCGTGGAAGCAGAACTGGCTGTGGGAGTCGGGGCAGTCGTTGAAGTGCGACCTCACCGCCGCCGCCACCGGAGCTGTGGGCAAAAACGAGGCAAAACCCGTCGGTTTTGGTCAACCCCAAACCCTTTGGGGGTTTATTTTGGGATGGCCGCGTGGGACGCGGGGCTGCGGCCACCCCGAAGAGCCCAGACGGGTCCTGCTTCAATAATCCCTCAGGAATTTCCTAAAGAGCTTAAAAGGGAGGAGGAGGGAGTTAAAGCCGGGCTCCTGTTTCCCATTAAATGCCACGCTGGTTTGAATTATCCTCCGGGAAGGGAATATCCTGCTCCGGGATTATCCCGGGATCCAGGCACTTCCGATCGCCGGCGCTTCAAAGCCACCCCCGGTTCCTGAGCCCTGGATTTATGGCAGCTCCATACGGGGGTGATTAAAGGCAGGGATGTGGGAATGCTTCCCGCTCCGAGGGGTGGCTGGATTGGGATGTGTCTGTGTCCTTGGGGTGGCTGGGATTGGGATGTCCCCATGTCCAAAGGGTGGCTGGATTGGGATGTGTCTGTGTCCAAAGGGTGTGTGGGATTGGGATGTCCCCAGATCCGAGGGGTGTGTGGGATTGGGATGTCCCCGTGTCCAAAGGGTGGCTGGGATTGGGATGTCCCCGTGTCCTTGGGGTGGCTGGGATTGGGATGTCCCCAGATCCGAGGGGTGGCTGGGATTGGGATGTCCCCATGTCCAAAGGGTGGCTGGATTGGGATGTCCCTGTGTCCTTGGGGTGGCTGGGATTGGGATGTCCCCATGTCCTTGGGGTGGCTGGGATTGGGATGTCCCCGTGTCCGAGGGGTGGCTGGGATTGGGATGTCCCCAGATCCGAGGAGTGTCTGGGATTGGGATTGGGATGTCCCCGTGTCCTTGGGGTGGCTGGGATTGGGATTGGGATGTCCCCGTGTCCGAGGGGTGGCTGGGATTGGGATTGGGATTGGGATGTCCCCGCGTCCAAGGAGCTTTGCAGGGGTCAGCACCCACAGGATTTGGGGTGGGAATTGCTGCTGGAATCCTCTCCAGGAAAACCCCAACGTCTCCATCCCCAGGGCTGGATTTATCCCGGGACAGCACAGACTCCTGCTGCTGGGCCATCCCCCAAAACACCCCTTTTTTAGGATTTTAACCCTCAAATCCGAGCTCCTGGATGGGATTGTGCGTCCTGGGGTGTCCTGGCTCCCGTTCAGCTCTGCTCACAGCTGTCTCCCACATTGCAGCCTCTTCCTCCTCCTCCTCCTCCTCCTCCCACCCCATGGATCCATCCCTGTTCCTACAGCTCCTGGGATGGGCAGGAATCCTTCGGGAACGGGGCTGCCAGCACCCTCCTGCCATTCCCAAGCACTGCCATTAACACATCCCCTTTTTCCAGCCCCAAAAGGGAGATTTCCCACCCCAAAAGGGAGATTTCCCACCCCAAAAGGGAGATTTCCCACCCCAAAAGGGAGGTTTCCCACCCCAAAAGGGAGATTTCCCACCCCAAAAGGGAGATTTCCCACCCCAAAAGGGAGGCTGGGCACGAATCCATCGGGAAAGGAGCTGCCAGCACCCTGGGGGTGCCGGGAATGCCTCGGGGCTCGGCTGTGAAACCTCCCGGTACCACTTCCCAAATAATGCTGCTGAACCATCCCAATTTCCAGCCCCACAAGGAATGGATTTCTGGCCCCAAAACCAAAGGGTTTCCAGCCCCAAAACCAAAGGGATTCCAGCCCCAAAACCAGAGAGTTTCCAGCCCCAAACCCAAAGGGTTTTCCAACCCCAAATCAGAGAGTTCCAGCCCCAAAAGGAAAGGATTTCCAGCCCCAAACCCAAAGGATTTCCAGCCCCAAACCCAAAGGGTTTCCAGCCCCAAACCCAAAGAGTTTCCAGCCCCAAACCCGAAGGATTTCCATTCCCTTTGGGGCTGGAAATCCTTTCCCTTTGAGGCTGGAAATCCCTTCCCTCTGGGGCTGGAAATCCTTTCCCTTTGGGGCTGGAAATCCTTTCCCTTTGGGGCTGGAAATCCCTTCCTTTTGGGGCTGGAAACTTTCCTTTTGGGGCCAGAAACTCTTTTCTTGAGAGCTGGAAACCCTTTCCCTTTGGGGCTGGAAACTTTCCCTTTGAGGCTGGGAATCCTTTCCCTTTGGGGCTGGAAATCCTTTCCTTTTGAGGCTGGGAATCCTTTCCCTTTGGGGCTGGAAATCCTTTCCTTTTGGGGCTGGAAATCCTTTCCCTTTGGGGCTGGAAATCCTTTCCCTTTGGGGCTGGAAATCCTTTCCCTTTGAGGCTGGGAGCTCTTCCCTCTGGGGTTGGAAATCCCTTCCTTTTGGGGCCAGAAACACTTTTTTTGAGAGCTGAAAACCCTTTCCCTTTGGGGCTGGAAATCCTTTCCTTTTGGGACCAGAAACTCTTTTTTTGAGAGCTAAAAACCCTTTCCCTTTGGTGTTTGAACCCTTTCCTTGTAGGAAAACCCTTTCTTTAGGGACCAAACCCTTTTTGGGGCCGCAAACCTTTTCCTCATGAGCTTGGAAACCGCTTACCTTCGTGGCCAGAAACCCCTTTTTTGGGACCAGAACCCCATTTTTTTTTTTTTTGGTGGGGGCTGGAAACCACTCCCGCTTTTTCCCTGGGGGATGAAGGGGATCCCACCCAGGACCCCGTTATCCCCAGGAAGAGGGGACGGCGGAACAGCCCGGAATTCCCGCCGGGCACTCACCGTTGCGGGCGGCCGTGGTGTTGTCCAGCGCGTGGCACGCGGCCAGCAGGACACCTGCGGGGAGCGACACACGGGCTCAGCCGCGCCCTGACCCCCCAAAAAAACCAAAACCCACGGTGGGGTTTGGGGGTCGCCGAAAGCGCCCCGAGGTTTTTATGGGAAATGTGGGAATTCCCTGCGTGGGTGGGATTATGGAGAGCTGGGGGGTCCCGGCAGGAATGAGCCCCTCCACAAGCCCTGGAGCCACGGGAGCGCTCCCAGGGCCATTTCCCGGGATTTGACCCAATTTCCCGCCTGGTTTCGATCGAACGGCGCGGAAAAGGCGGCGGGAGGGAGACGGAGCCTGGGGAGGTACATCCCACAAATCACGGCATCACCGGGGCTTCGGGGATCCACCCTGGGCTTCGGGGATCCACTCTGGGCTTCGGGGATCCACCCTGGGGTTTGGGGATCCACCCTGGGGTTTGGGGATCCACCCCTGGGGTTTGGGGATCCACCCTGGGGTTCGGGGATCCACCCTGGGCTTCGGGGATCCACCCTGGGCTTCGGGGATCCACCCTGGGGTTCAGGGATCCACTCTGGGCTTTGGGGATCCACCCTGGGCTTCGGGGATCCACCCAGGGCTTCGGGGATCCACCCTGGGGTTCAGAGATCCACCCTGGGGTTCGGGGATCCACCCTGGGGTTCAGGGATCCACTCTGGGCTTCGGGGATCCACCCTGGGGTTCAGGGATCCACCCTGGGGTTCAGGGATCCACCCTGGGCTTCGGGGATCCACCCTGGGGTTCAGGGATCCACCCTGGGGTTCAGGGATCCACCCCGGGGTTTAGGGATTTTGGGGTTTCACCCGTTCTGGGTTTTTTGGGAAATGCCTCACCCCGCTGGGATGGGTGGGGGTCCATCCCCCTGGGAATTCCGGCTCCCCCGTTCTCCGTGGGCAGCTGGAAAGCCCAGCCCTGATCCCTGATCCCTGATCCCTGATTGCTGATCCCTCATCCCTGATCCCTGATCCCTGATCCCCGATCCCTCATCCCTGATCCCTCATCCCTCATCCTTCATCCCTGATCCCTCATCCCTGATCCCTCATCCTTCATCCCTGATCCCTGATCCCTCATCGCTGATCCCTGATCCCCGATCCCTCATCCCTCATCCCTGATCCCTGATCCCTCATCCCTGATCCCCGATCCCTCATCCCTGATCCCTGATCCCTCATCCCTGATCCCTGATCCTTCATCCCTCATCCTTCATCCCTCATCCTTCATCCCTCATCCTTCATCCCTCATCCCTGATCCTTCATCCCTGATCCCTGATCCCTCATCCCTGATCCCTCATCTCTCATCCCTGATCCCTGATCCCGGCCCTTGGGACGTTTTCTGTGCCCAGGGCCGGAGTGGGGGCACTGGACACCCCCTGGACACCTCCCAGACACCTGGACACCTCCCGGACACTTGGACACCCCCTGGACACCCTCTGGACACCTTCTGGACACTCAGACACCTCCTGGACAACTCCTGGACACTCGGACACCTCCCAGACACCTTCTGGACACTTGGACACCCCCTGGACACCTCCCGGACACTCGGACACCCCCTGGACACCCCCTGGACACTCAGACACCTCCTGGACACCCCCCGGACACTCTGG